AATAGACATGTGCAGTTGATTGGTCAGTTTCAAGTAATAGTCTGTTCACTATCTGTTTTCTTTCTGGCACCAGTGCGAATGTTTCTCACTATTCTAATTTACACGTAACTGTTTTTACTTTACACAACATAATGTGTAAGCTTATACGTGTATATTGGGTATGCAGCACATTGTATCCACAGATTAATTACCAATTGATGAAATTATGGTTAACTATCTGTGATACGTTTTATTTCATGATGATAAATAATGTGTGAGATCAGATTGTTTTATAACATTTTAACAGACTTCGGCAATGCTAATTCGTGGTAATATACAAATTCACTGCTTATAACAGATGCTATTCCATAAGGCCTATTCAACGATCTTGGATGTAATGCCTGATTTACCCAATGTTAATGTAGATATTTGTTTTTAATAATTTGTATGTATGTTTGCTTAACCAATGAAAGTTAATACATGTAGAAAATTAAATTTTTGTCCTTAAAACTGCAACCAGATCTGAAATGCCGCTAATAAAGAATTATCTTGAAATGACAAGAATATAAAAAAGAAATTTAAAATCCGGATTTTAAACTAAATCTTGACTGTAGATTTTTGTATTGTGATTGAAAAAAAGCGCTCCAGAACAGTTCAAAAATTGTAATACGATAGCAAACTTTTAATATTAATAAGAGTTTTTATACCTAAGGGATAATGTGAACAAAGTGTTACCTCGAGACAATTCAACGATGTAAGGATTTATGTGACACGTTTAAGCAAATATATTTTGAAAATTAACGATGGAAGACCTGTACTTGCTGCTCGAACTCTTAATGTTTTACAAATTTGCATTAATAGATCGAAACATGGCCAAACTGATGGAAGAAGACTTGCACCAATAGGTTTAAGTGTTTTTTTTTTTAAATGGTCAAAGTAGTTGTAGAAGGACCCGCACTAACAAATTGAAATATGTTTTCGTAAGATTGCCAACTGGTGTAGGAAAATTGTTGAGCAAACTTTTAGCAGTGCATAAGATAATAGTTATAAATAGGGAACAATTAGCTTTTAATGATACAAATCTAACGGAACTTAATTTTGTAGAACTAATGTATAAACTGCGATTGAAGTTTAAAGAAGAGATTTTGTAAAGTTAACTAAATTCAAGTTGCTAGAAGCTATATATAGCGATTCTGCCTCTGTTGAGTGATGTATAGTTTTTTCTTTATCGATCAGTTTGGGATGTAATTTATTAAAATCATACGAATAATAATAAAAAATACAATTTTTTTGGTAATTAACTACACAATGTGCTAACTGTGATATGCTCACCGCGAGTATTGAAACCCTGTTTTTAGCATGTAACTCCTCATACTTACTGCTAAAACCACAAGAGGAGTAGAGAGAGATGGTTTATCCATAAGTACTAACGAAAACGTAGAGCACACAGTTCCAAAAACGTAGCCAAAATAAGGTCTGGGTAAAATGTTAACTTAGAATATAAAAAAGAAATGCAGAATTGTAAAAAAATATAAAAATAAAAGCGTTACATTGTCTTAATTATGTTTGCCTAAACCAAAGGAGTAATTGAATTAATTCTAGGAACTGGTCGAAATTGATTAAAATAAGCTAAAATTAATCTACTTGAGGTACAAGGATTTTAAATAAATGAAATATATCACCAAAAGTAAAGCAGATTGACTCGTATTTTAATCAACAGAGAATGGTGGTTTAATTAAGATTAAACTTTGGTTTTATTAGCGGGAAAAAATTCTGTGATGACCATTTTGTGAAATCCTAGCTCCAATAGTACAACATTATCTGCCTTTGTGTATTTGGAGTGAGTTGTTTATTTTATTTTTATTGCCTGAAAGAGAAGCATATTACAAAATAATTCAATCAAATATTCTATATGTCAGAGGCATAACATTTATGGTTATCCCATATTAGCTATGGAATATTTTTACTTAGAAATACTTTGAAGAAATCCATGTAAGTGAAAACGATTTTAAAACTCACTGTAAATTGTAATAATGACAAAAATAAGTAAGAGAATATACTGTCTTGGACAGTTTAAACAAAGAGACTGGCTCTATATTTAGGCATATCAAAAAATAAAGTTTAACTAAACTTTATCGGGTAAAAATATTTTTTTCACCATGGCAAAATTGTAAGAAACTGTTAACAGTAGAAGAGTTGTATGACCAAATTCATTTTTGGGCTTCCCAACACTGAATGTTATCTAGGTTGATATTTGGTTTGAGTATGCGAATAACAACGCCAATATTAGTAATGGCAGGAACAAGTTGATTACCAATGCTAGATATAAAATGCTTAGTTACGCTGTTTTTAGCCGCGGCTATTGAGTGTTCCCTCTTATTTATTTTAACATTACAAAAGGTAACTATACCTCTAAAAACACCAAACAACAGCCTGAGGGCTAGAAAAAAGAAGTTATTTTGCAATAGCCAAACTTTTTTCTTGTGAAAGATTTGATTAAGAACTATTAACACTATTTATCAGACAAGAGGTCATCAGTTCTTGTTTCTCAACTTTTCATGTTATTTTCGTGCAGTTTCTTGCTCGGAAACAGCCCTCCTGACGATTTGCCATTTTATAATCTCTTACCCAGTAGTTTTTATTTAGCCTTGGTATGTGAATACTCGTCGCTACCTACTTCGACCTAATCTCGAAATCCTCTAAAGTCTTGTTCGCTTTAAAATTTAGTACAATTTTATCACTGTAGTCTTCCGGGTATTCATGATTCACCACAACGCCACCTTGAACTACTTAAGACACCAAAGATTATAGAAAGTTTTGTCCCTAAACTCACTGTACTGGCTTTATATTGAGAAATCTGGAGTAGTATTTGGTCTCTGTTATGACTTTAGTTCATTATTTTGACAGACGTGATAGCTTATGCTGTTTTTTTTGTTAGTCTATTAACTTTAGATTTGCCGGAGATTTTTTACACCATTTTTTGTGAACATCTTTTAATCTTTATTTGATATTCTGTTTTTCAGTCCATTATGCAGAATATTCAACACAGTCGTGTTTCTTTAATTCCTGCTCACTATCTCTTGATAGTTACGATCAATCTCCAATATACTATTCTTGCTCAAATAACCTTTAAAAGCAGTGTGTAAAGTATGAACTCTCTTATATTTTCTTGTCTTTTTGTTTGCTCTAGGTATTTTCATCTCTAGAGGTAGTAATAATTGATGTTTTTGACTCTTACCGTAGCCTTCAACCTTTACTGGTACTGCCTTCTCAATTCCAGAACAGCTGGAGGCAGATTACAAAGACAAGGAGACACTTCGTGTTCAGGCCACGTGTACATGAAGGT